AAATGCATTCACATGTGCACGCGTGCAATGCTTAAGTTAAAATGATTTTTGTACACTTCTTTGTAAATGTTGTTAAAATCTCAGATGCATAAAGTTTGTCTTATTTAATGAAGCTTACAGGGAAAATGGCACCAAAAGGGAGTTGGGGAGCGTTTGGGGAACATCTGTAACGGTCCCCGTTACAATTAGCACTAGTTGTATTTAACTTCAGTCTATGTTGTCAATTGTAGGACATGGCCATTGTTTATAAAACAATTATCACCTCAACACCTGCAAACAGTGCAATTACATTCAAGAAAATTATCAATGTATACCAATAACTGTTTAATTACAAAAAAAACTAGAGGTACTGTCACGTTGTTATTTATGGTTACACGTGAACTTGTGTTGTATTTTATTTATTAGGGGAATCACTCGCTTGGGGAAAGTTTAACTTTATTCCTTATTTGGACTGCTCTACACGTGGGGCTACTTCCTGGCTTGGATTGCCCTCTACGGTGGCTGTAAAAATCCAAAGAATAAAGAAATAACATATTTTTGATAACTGAAGTTTATTCTTTGAAATCGTCGATGAAAGTGTCTTAATAATCTTATAAACAAACAGTCACCAGTTACAAATACAATGTAAAATATTATAAAAATATGTTTTAAAGTTAATCCTGGTGACTGTACAGAGGGTTGAACAATTTAGGAAAAATCCCTCTGTAAATTGAAAATCTAAACTTGCATAGATATAATATAAATCTAAACTACTAATGTTACAGCGGACAGTCTCGTAGCATGAATTACTAAACAGAGAAAATTTGGAAATAAAACATTCTATTTTACACTTTTCTTTTACCTTTAATCATAGATCATTGAAGTGGAAACTAGTCCGAACTAAAATCATTTAAATATAAAGGTAATCATAACAATCAAAAGCTTGTGTACTTACAATCTTATCTCTAAAGTCATTTTACTTTTCCAGCGCTTTTCGATACAAACAAACAACATTTTTACCTCCTTATAATAAAGAGCGCACAATGAATATAATGGCGCTAAATTTCAAATTGCATTTCTAAAAACACTACATTTATTTGAGACTGTCGCTTAACCCGTTTATTACAATAAAACATACAACCATAAACTATACAAATACTAAATGAGGTCACTATGCATAAAACTTATGCAACAATAAAAACTTTAGGGGAAACTTAACTCAAGCTCAAATTTAGAATCAAGAAATACATAAAAATACTTATCAATAAAATACTTAATATTTTAAAATTTATTCATGAGCATAAAAAGAATTGCTTTAATAGAAAATGAATCAATTAACTAAAAATTATATGATTTACATACCTGTAAAAATCCAAAGAATAAAGAAATAATATATTTTAATAACTGAAGTTTATTGTTTGAAATCGTCGATGAAAGTGACCAAGCTTGGGCGAATTTTCACCGACGATTCCGTGTCTTTGGATTACAGGATTTTAGCCAATCAAAATTTAGAATTTCTTACTGAATAGCCGAAAGTTGTAAAAATTTTCCAAATAAAGACGATTAATTAAACAGAGTGATCACGTGACATAAAAATGACCGCCACGGTAATTGAGTAAACTTGAACACCTGGGCTTGACCTCAGACCCTTAGGTCTTCTTAAGGTATTCAATGTATAACGAAGGGATTTTGACTGATTTTAAATAATTTTAAACTAGTTAAAAGCACACAGCTAGAAAACGATAAAAGTGAAATAAACCAAATTCACAAGACTGATAACATGTAAGGAGACGGTCATTTTGCACATTAACAGTTTTTGAAGAGTTATCTGCCCTTGATGAAAAGAAGAATTGTTTTGATTTCACAAAATTTCTGCGGTAAATAATTTATTTTATTTTATATTTTAATAAAGAGGGAGTTTATGCATATTTTCACCAAGAGATTTCTTTGAATTTCAAATTGATTTTTACAATATCTTATAAAAACATGCACTGCCCATAGACTTCAATGTAAAATTCAAAGTGATATAAATTGGACAATAATCAAAATTTTGTAAATTCCTTTGGTGGAGCATTTTCATTTGATAATATCTTCAAATTACTACCATGATTAAAAATATTGGACCGTTCATTTATTAGGTACAAAATATGGTCGTTATACATTGAATACCTTAACAAAAAGACAAAATCACAAAAGAGATTAACACTATTACCAATTATTTGATTATCATGCTTATTGAACATCTGACTCTAAAAACTCATAGGTAAATTGTTTACCAAAATACAATAGAAATCCATTAGCTGGACATGCCAATATTTGTAAAAGAAAGTCCTTTTTTTCACCTGTATAAAAACTGTTTTATACTGAATAAACAAGGAAATCTTAGGTGACAAATTGAATTCTGACAATATAAAATACCTGTACTTTTTGTTACATTCTGACACTGATTATTGAAACTTAATTTATATTTTTCTCATAAAAATTTCTTCTTTTTTTTTTTTATTAAACTAAATTCATATTTAACAAAATGTAATAAAAATGAAAATATATACAAAATATTGAATTTATTACAATATTGCTTTTTATAAAATGTATCTGTCTTCCCACAAATTTTTATTAAAATAGAAAATTTGGTGTTATGACTACTTCTATTTTAATAAAAATTTGTGGGAAGACAGTACTGTGAGCAATGAGCTCACTAAATGATACCCCCTGCCTCCCATATAATTATAATGAAAAAGTCCATGTTTTGTTGTGGCCGGGAAACCCAAAATATGTGTCAAAAAGTAAAATAGGAGGTGAACAATGGCAATATGTCATAAAGATTCTGTGAAAGTTTCATTAAATTTCACTCAGTGGTATAAGAGGAGTTGCGGATAAGAGATGGGTACCCCAAAGCGTAACAGACGGACGGACGGACATACAGACGGACGGAAATACCGATTACTTTATACCCTCCCACTTTTCAAGCGAGGGGTATAAAAAAAACAATTAAATTTTCGACACTAATATCGCTTAGGTATGACTCAGGTTTGTTTACATACTGACACACGCTCGGTATACATGCATTATACCGGTAAGCATACATGTAACTTCATAAATCGCTAGGAATTAATTAAAAAGAAAATAATCAGGCATTATTATCTCTGGTTGGTTAATTATTAAAAAGATTAAAATAAAATGTTCACACGTGCACACTTTAAATACAGTAAGGAAAAAAATAACTGACGAACTACTTTCGTTTGAGATGCGTAATTTTTTAAGGATTGTATTTTTAAGTTACTGTACTAGCAAAAGTCAAGTCACATCCTGCGGTTTTTTCCAGGATTTTCACCCCCAACTTTGGGGGTGCGTCTTTTACACCTTTGCGGCCAATACACGTAATTTTACGGTAAATGTAATGTGTTAATTATTTTATATCAATTAAAGGTGTATTCCTCATTTAAAACTGACGTTATCAAAATTAACATTATTTTACATTGATTTCCTGAAAAAAATTGCATTAAGAAAAAAAATCCTGTCACGTAGGTTGACCCCTACCTTCATGCTGTTTATCCTGGTGTACACGGCCTACTTCCAGTACTGGGGCTCGGGACCTCTCTGGCCCCTGACGTCCCCTGACTACCACAACTGTAAGGAGTACTGGTGGAGGAATCTTCTGTATATCCAGAACTTCTTTCCCGTCGGTGAAGAGGTAAACTTGAATTGAGACACCTGATTAGAACTCTCCTAACTGGGACGCACTTTGTGAGCTGTTACTGGATAATTAACGGCTCACATGTTTATACCACAAGTAGAAAGTATTGTGGTAATATGCCATGTCTATGATATTTTGGCTCATATTTGAAATTCATTACAGTTTTTTCTTTTCATGCTGTCAATCTGCTCTAATGTTTGTGAAAAATAATGGAAATCTATTCCATTATTCAATAAATTAATATAATTAATAAATATAATTAATATTTATTTTTTATATTCTTTTTCTACTACATAAGAATGTAGATTTTTCAATAATTGCTTTAAAAAAAGATCCCAAGTTTGCTATCTTAAATTTTCAGTGCATTGGCTGGGGTTGGTACCTTGCAGTTGACATGCAGTTTTTTGTACTTTCACCATTAATAATATACCCCCTGTACAGGTATGTGTTATGTTGATTATTAAAGTTATTTACCTCATAAACCTTAGATGGTTACGATAAGGCTGTCCGTAAAATATCGAACGGTTCAAAAAGTAAAAAACTTCTCTGAACCACTGTATTGTATTTCTGTATTGTATTTCTGTATTGTATTTCAGTATATGGATCTCCTTTAGAGGAAGAGCTCCTTTCAAAGACATAAAAATGATCAAATTAAAAAGCTAAAAACTGTCCTGACAATTTTTTTTGCCAAATGATAGTTGATAACTTAAAATATCATATATAGAAAATTAAGTGATATCTGATTTGTCTATGACCCCTTGCCTCCTTAAACTTTATTTTCATAGTTATGTTCCCCAAACGAAGTTGGGGAACATATTGTTTTTACTCTGTTTCTTATTATTATTATTCTTATTATTATTAAGGTCTTCCGTCTCCAACGGAAGACCTTCTTGTTATTCTTCGGTTTCTTTTTCCCTATTATTAAGGTCTTCCGTTTCCAACGGAAGACCTTATTGTTTTCGTTCGGTTTCTTTTTCTCTATTATTATTATTATTATTCTTCCAACCGATTTTGTGCACGCGATTTCTCGGGAACGGCTCGGCCGATTTACATGAAATTTTCATATGTTATAGCTTATCAATCGATCTTGATAGGTTTTTGATCGTTTTTATGACGTCACTTCCGGTCGTGAGATATGGGCAATTTTCTGATTTTAAAATGCAATTTTGTCTTGATTTAATAGCAAAAACTGCTTAAGATATGAGCTGAAGATTAATTGGAGATGATAGTTCATGACTTATAGCGTTGCAGAATCGCCTTTTCGTGCGACTTCAGTACTTCCGGTCGAAACCGGAAGCGAATTTAAGAAACGTATTTTTTCAACTTTTCATTTTTAATATTTTTATTTTAGAATTGAATAGAGACCCTTTTGCAGAAGCCATATATGTAATTTGTTTGAAAATCGAAAAAGCCAATCTCGAGATATTAGCGTTTGAAAACGCGAAGCGGCGATCCCGATGGCCGAATGGTTAGCGCGTTGGATTGTCACGCGGGCGACCCGGGTTCGATCCCCCTTGTGACCAAAAAATTTTATCACTTTTTCTGCTCGATTTTTCGATTTTTATTAATTTTAGACCATTTGCAACAACATATTTTCAACTTTTATGTATATCTTACGTAATAAGGGGTCACAAAGGGCCAGAATGCTAAATCTTTGACGCTTTATATCTTAAAAAGGGGGAATATTTTGATAAGCAATATTGAACAAAAGTTGGTCAGAATAATGTTCTTAACAATATGCATACTTTGAATTTTTTGAAAAATGGCCCCATTAAGGACTTGTAGGGGTGGCCCCTAAATATTTATATGTAGCATATCTCCACAACAAATAGAAATCTCTGAATAAGTGTTGAACAAAAAAGCTTCAAAATCACAAGACCTTTCATTTGATATCAAGAAAAAGGGGCTGACCCCTTAAATTAGGGGCTCAGAGGGGCAAACAGTCTTTTATCTATAACTCTCTACTGATCAATATTTTGTTATACATTACTGAAGCAAAAGTATTTATCTTAACGATTGGCAACAATATATGATACAATTTTGATCATATGTTACGTAATTAGGGATCACAAGGGGCCAGAATGTCAAATCTTTGACGCTTTATATCTCGAAAAGGGAGAATATTTTGATAAGCAATATTGAACAAAAGATGGTCAGAATAATATTCTAAACAATATGCATACTTTGAATTTTTGTAAAACGGCCCCATTAAGGACTTGTAGGAGTGGCCCCTAAATATTTATATGTAGCATATCTCCACAACAAATAGAAATCTCTGAATAAGTGTTGAACAAAAAAGCTTCAAAATCACAAGACCTTTCATTTGATATCAAGAAAAAGGGGATGACCCCTCAAATTAGGGGCTCAAAGGGGCCTACAGTCTTTTATCTATAACTCTCTATTGATCAATATTTTGTTATACATTACTGAAGCAAAAGTATTTATCTTAACGATTGGCAACAATATATGATACAATTTTGATCATATGTTACGTAATTAGGGGTCACAAGGGGCCAGAATGTCAAATCTCTGACGCTTTATATCTCGAAAAGGGATAATATTTTGATAAGCAATATTGAACAAAAGATGGTCAGAATAATATTCTAAACAATATGCATACTTTGAATTTTTGTAAAACGGCCCCATTAAGGACTTGTAGGAGTGGTCCCTAAATATTTCTATGTAGCATATCTCCACAATGAATAGAAATCTTTGATAAGTGTTGAACAAAAAAACTTTAAAATCACAAGACCTTTCATTTGATATCAAGAAAAAGTGGCTGACCCCTGAAATTAGGGGCTCAGAGGGGCCAACAGTCTTTTATCTTTTTAACTCTTAAATGATCAATACTTTGTGATACATTATAGAAGCAACGGTATTCATCTAAACAATATGCAACAATATCTGATAGAATTTGGATCATATGTTACGTAATTAAGGGTCACAAAGGGCCAGAATACTAAATATTGAACGATTCATATCTTGAAAATGGGGAATATTTTGATTAGCAATATTGAACAAAAGATGGTCAGAATAATATTCTTAATAATATGCACACTTTGAATTTTTGAAAAATGGCCCCATTAAGGACTTGTAGGAGTGGCCCCTAAATATCTATATAAAGCATATCTCCACAACGAAAAGAAATCTCTAAATAGGTGTTGAACAAAACATCTTTGAAATTACAAGATCTTTCATTTGATATCAAGAAAAAGGGGCTGACACCTTAAAATAGGGGCTTAAAGGGGCCAAAAGTCTTGAATCAGTACCTATTTTTTGATCTATATTTTGTGATACATTACAGAATCAAAGAAATGCATTTCAACAACTGACAACAATATAATATAAAATTTTGGCCATATATTACGTATTAAGAGGTCGCAATGCGGTCAAAATGCTATTTTTTATCATGCTTTACGTCTTGAAAAGAGGGGGTTTTCCTATATGCCATATTGAACAAAAGATGTTCAGAAAATTGTGATAAAAATGAAAAACTTTAAATTCGTTGAAGGAAAACTTAATGTCATTCTCTTTTAACGAATATCTCAGTCAAAATCACATCTCATCTTATCTAGAAATTCAACGGAAGACCTACTCGTTGCTCGCAACGAGATCTCATCTAGTTATTATTATTATTATTATTATTATTTTTCTTACCGATTTTGTGCACGCGATTTCTCGTAAACTACTGGGCCGATTCTCATGAAACTTTCACATCTGATAGATACTGATCCGAACCTTATTGGAAATTTTTTTCGTTGACGTCGTCACTTCCGGTCGTGAGTTATGGACAATTTCCTGATTTTAAAATGCAATTTTGTCTTGATTTAGTAGCGAAAACTGCTTAAGATATGAACTGAAGGTTAATTGGAGATGAAAGTTCATGACTTATAGCGTTGCAGAATCGCCTTGCCGTGCGTCGTCAGTACTTCCGGTTGATACCGGAAGCGAATTTAAAAATCGCAATTTTTCAACTTTTCTTTTTTAATATTTTTGTTTCAGAATTGAATAGAGACCCTTTTGCAGAAGCAAAATATGTAATTTGTTTGAAAATCGAAAAAGCCAATCCCGAGATATTTGCATTTGAAAACGCGAAGCGGCGATCCCGATGGCCGAATGGTTAGCGCGTTGGATTGTCACGCGGGCGACCCGGGTTCGATCCCCCGTGTGTCCAAAAAATTTTATCATTTTTTCTGCTCGATTTTTCGATTTTTATAAATCTTAGACCATTTGCAACAACATATTTTAAACTTTTAAACATATCTTACGTAATAAGGGGTCATAAGGGGCCAGAATGCTAAATCTTTGACGCTTCATATCTTGAAAAGAGGGAATATTTTGAAAAGCAATATTGAACAAAAGATGGTCAGAATAATATTCTAAACAATATGCATACTTTGAATTTTTGTAAAATGGCCCCATTAAGGACTTGCAGGGGTGGCCCCTTAATATTTCCATTCAGCATATCTCCCAAACGAAAAGAAATCTCTGAATAAGTGTTGAACAAAAAATCTTCAAAGTCACAAGACCTTTCATTTAGTATCAAGAAAAAGGGGCTGACCCCTCAAATTAGGGGTTCAGAGGGGTCAAAAGTCTTTCATCTTTAACTCTTTAATGATCAAAATCTTATAATACATTACAGAAGCAAAGGTATTCATCGGAACGATTTGCAACAATATATGATAAAATTTGGATCATGTGTTACGTAATTAGGGGTCACAAGGGGCCAGAATGTCAGATCTTTGACGCTTTATATCTCAAAAAGGGGGAATATTTTGATAAGCAATATTGAACAAAAGTTGGTCAGAATAATGTTCTCAACAATATTCATACTTTGTTTTTTTGTAAAATGGCCCCATTAAGGACTTGTAGGGGTGGCCCCTTAATATTTCCATTCAGCATATCTCCCAAACGAAAAGAAATCTCTGAATAGGTGTTGAACAAAAAATCTTCAAAATCACAAGACCTTTCATTTGATATCAAGAAAAAGGGGCTGACCCCTCAAATTAGGGGCTCAGAGGGGCCAAAAGTCTTTCATCTTTAACTCTTAAATGATCAATATTTTGTGATACAATATAGAAGCAAAAGTATTTATCTTAACGATTTGCAACAATATATGATACAATTAGGACCATATGTTACGTAATTAGGGGTCACAAGGGGCCAGAATTTCAAATCTTTGACACTTTATATCACAAAAAGGGGGAATATTTTGATAAGCAATATTGAACAAAAGATGGTCAGAGTAATGTTCTTAACAATATGCATACTTTGAATTTTTGTAAAATGGCCCCATTAAGGACTTGTAGGTGTGGCCCCTAAATATTTCCATTCAGCATATCTCCACAACAAAAAGAAATCTCTGAATAAGTGTTGAACAAAAAATCTTCAAAATCACAAGACCTTTCATTTAGTATCAAGAAAAAGGGACTGACCCCTCAAATTAGGGGTTCAGAGGGGCCAAAAGTCTTTCATCCTTAACTCTTTAATGATCAATATTTTGTAATACATTGCAGAAGCAAAAGTATTCATCTTAACGATTTGCAACAATATATGATACAATTTGGATCATGTGTTACGTAATTAGGGGTCACAAGGGGCCAGAATGTCAGATCTTTGACGCTTTATATCTCAAAAAGGGGGAATATTTTGATAAGCAATATTGAACAAAAGTTGGTCAGAATAATGTTTTCAACAATATGTATACTTTGAATTTTTGTAAAATGGCCCCACGAAGGATTTGTAGGGGTGGCCCCTAAATATTTATATGAATCATATCTCCACAATGAAAAGAAATCTCTGAATAGGTGTTGAACAAAAAGTCTTTGAAATCACAAGACCTTTCATTTGATATCAAGAAAAAGGAGCTGACCCCTCGAATTAGGGGCTCAGAGGGGCCAAAAGTCTTGCATCTGTACCTCTTTAATGATCAATATTGTGTGATACATTACAGAAGCAAAGATATACATCTTAACGACTTGCAATAATATAATATAAAATTTTGGCCATATCTTACGTAATAAGGGGTCGCAATGGGGCCAAAATGCAATTTTTTGTCATACTTTACGTCTTGAAAGGAGAGGGGTATTTTTATAAGCCATATTGAACAAAAGATGTTCAGAAAATCGTGATAAAAATGAGAAACTTTAAATTCATTGAAGGAAAACTTAATGTCATTCTCTTTTAACGAATATCTCAGTCAAAATCACATCTCATCTTATCGAGAAATTCAGCGGAAGACCTACTCGTTGCTCGCAACGAGATCTCATCTAGTTATTATTATTTTTCTTCTTGGGAAAATTTTGTCCGCGAGTGATCTTGTAAACTACTCATCCAACTTAGGTGAAACCTTTTTAGGGTAAGTAGGCATGTTATGTAGATTTGCGGAATCAAGGTCATTTTGCGCGCACGTGCTTGCAAGAGCGCGCACGTGCGAAACTTAAAATGACCAATATATAATGGATATAATCGTAACTTCTCTATTTTGTGACGAAATGTTTTGAAACTTATAATGTAAGGATATATTAGTAGTATGCACAAGATGACATGGTCAAAATAGCAAGATCGCACGCGCATGCACGTGTGCTTCGCTCTGATTGGCTGAAACTAAAGTCTCAATATCTTTTTTGTTTTTTGATAAAATCATTTGAAATTTTGAACATAGTCATACATTAGGGAGATCTACAGCCTGTAATATAAGATTTTTCATGAAAGCATGTGCATGCACATGTGCTTGCAAGAGCTCGCACGTGCAACACGAGAAATGTCCAATATAATTGATAGAGACGTAACTATTAAAATTATTGAGGAAATGCTTTGAAACTCATTTTATAAGTATATATTAGTAGTATTCACAAGATGACATAGTCAAAATAGCAAGATCGCACGCGCATGCACGTGTGCTTTGCTCTGATTGGCAGAAACTAAAGTCTCAATATCTTTCTTGTTTCTTGTCATAATCCTTTGCAATTTTGAACATAGTCCTACATTATGAAGATCTACAGCCTGATAAATAAAAATTTTCATGAAAGCATGCGCATGCGCACGTGCTGCAATCTGATTGGCTGAAACTTTAAATGGCTATATCTCCCTTGTTTTTTGACGAAATGCTTTGAAATTTAAAACATAGACATGCATTAGGATATCCTACAATATGATATAGAAAAAATTCATGAAATCACGCGCATGCACGTGTGCTGCAATCTGATTGGCTGAAACTTGAAATGGCCATAACTCCCTTGTTTTTCAACCAAACAGGATGAGATTTAGAACATAGATAGATATAAGGGACTCCTAAAAGAAGGTATGGCCATCATGCACGTGCATGCATGTGGAACTAAAAATACATTTTAATGAGTAATTTTTAATACTTTTGGACTGAATGCTTTAATATATAGCATATTAAAATATATAAATAGTGTAGACAAGATGATATGGTCATAACGCACATGCATTCACATGCGCACGGGTGCAATACTACAGTTTGAATATAATTGGTAATCTTTGGTAATTGGTATCCTTCTCGGTAAACGTTGTTAAAGTCAAAAATTCACAGAGTTTGTCTTATTTAATGAAACTTAAGGGAATATGGCACCAAAATGAAGTTGGGGAGCGTTTGGGGAACATCTGTAACGGTTCCCGTTACAATTAGCACTAGTTATTTTTTTTTTGTTCTGTTCAGGAAACCTTTGATAGGATACATAATAATACTGGCTCTTATGGTGATGCAGTTGGTTTACAGGGGAATAATGTCAGTACAGCTGGATATGGGCTTAAATGTAGGACATGATTTAAAACTCACAACATACCCTGTAGAAAGGTATATATTGGTTTACATCT